AAGGACTTGTTATTGCTATTGTTGTTGTTGTTGATGTTGCAGATATTAAATAATGTTATTTTGTAAATTAGATAATATCCAAAATAAATGATTGGATCTTTCTTGAAGCACAATTTTTTTCTATTATAAAAAGCTTTGGACTTCTACTATCCTCATTTTTCATTTCTCGTCCTTTTTTTAGATTCCAGACCTCTCTAAAACTCTCTTTTTACTCGATCCTTTCTCATTACGGTGAACGCTCTGAAGAGCGTGTTAAGTGATTTAAAGAAATTTTAGACTATTTGGTTGTCTAAAGTGACGATTGCGTGAGCGTGATTCCAACAAATATTATGTATATATTGTAGGAGCCCAGTGTATTTTGGGGTCCCAAGGGGGATTATTTGAATACTATGTTTGATGACACGATATGCTCCTGCAAAGAAAAATGGAAGTCTTTTTTTTGTGTGAGGAGTTGATCAATGTTTTCACTTTTTTAGCTCAAATTTTGCCAAACTCGTATGCGAATTTGATTTCCTTTATCATCCGCCTGCATGAGAAGAAGATAAATTGGAATCTCGCATTCTTTCAACATCTATTCACCATTAAGAGATTCAAGAATCAGAGCCTTCCCTTTTCATTCAATTATATCAAAATGTTCAGCTTGGACAATGAAATTAAGAATTAAAAAGACATGTTTGCTTTATTAGAGCTTGTACAATCTATGCAATCTGATGGAGGATGACTATACACATTTTCTCCAAGGGAATAAGATTAGGCTCGATGCCCATTTTCTTAGATGCTCAAGCTGATAAGAAATTTTTTTTCTAGTGAGTATAACCAATTTGGCTTAGCATTTTTTCAGTTTTAGTTAGTTGGATTCTAACGTGGTTAATTTATTATTCTGTGTCCCATTGTCTTTTTAGTTTCAAACAACTTGAATGTTGTGTGCTTCTTGGGGGAAGTCTCCAAGTAAATGGAGGCTTCTAAGATGAAATTGTGCAGTGTAAAAATTCTCTTTAAGTTGAATTGAATTTTGCTTAAGTGGGTGAATATGCTTTTGGCCTATTTAAATTATGTGGGTTTTTTTGCCAAATATGGTCAGAGTATTTCTCTCAACTCTTATTAATTGTTGGTCCCTTCTACATATCTCATTGAGTAAGCCTTCATCTTTAGTAAGTCATATCCTTTTCTAGATCTTAGCTTCATGCAACTTTTTAGACTCACTAGTAGACTAGACGTAATGTGTGCTTAATGTATATTGCCACGAAGGGTGGCATCAGAATCTAGAGTTCTTATCAATCCAAGGTTGGGACTTCTAGCTTTGATGCTTTTTGTTTTGAAAGCTAGTTCTTATTGATTTCTTTATGGTGCCTAAAACAATGATGGAACATTCAAGTTACTAATTGGCCTGATAATTTTGTTGAAGTGTTTTGTTTTACTTTTGAATTTGGATTTGCTGCAATAGAAATATGAGGATTTTACTGTTAAAGTTCACTAAATATCTTTTTTTATTACTCAGAGTTAGAAGAAGATGCCTTTGCTAAGCTCGAACTGTGTTTCGCTTACGGGACAGCTCTTTTTTAAAGAGTAATTTTCATAGGTTTTTTTTTTTTAATTTACGCAAAGTTCTTGTGGTCTTCATCTTCGTCTTAATTAGCCAAGTCTTGATAAGAAAAACAATTTCAATATTGTAAATCTGTCATTTTATAATTTTGAAGTTTGTTGACTTCAAGCTGTTCACTTTTAACTTATTAACATCCCCATTATTTTCTTGCTTTTTTAATATTCATTTTGAACTCGCCTAGAAAAGTGTCCCTAGTTATTTTGATGGGACGAGTTTTTTGCATGTTTTTGACTGGACGAGTTCCTTAAGTCTATTATTTGAACTCATCGGACAAATTTTATTTTGTGAATTAACTTTTTGCAAAGTAAGAATTTTTTTCCTGAAACTACATTTCTACATGGGTGAAGATGAAATAACAATAATGATTATTATAAGAATTGAATGATTTTAGGTTGCAAAAAATTTTGATCTCATCGCCACTCCATATTTCAAGGACTTCATTTCTGATGCAAGTCTGAAGTTGGTATACTCCATGTTTGATTTGCTTCTTTAGTAAATATTATCTATCCCAGGTGGAGTCGAGCTTGCCGAGGATAAATTAACAAACGACAATGTCTAAATTTTTTAGTACTTAGTAGTCGATACTGAATTTCTTTTCCTTTACGTCAGAGTATGGGCTTTTTGTCTTTTTTGTTTTCCATTTGAACTCCTCTTAACGTCATGGAAAATTGGATTCTAATTTCCTCTAGTTGGTCAAAAATGGTCTTTAGTCCATCATTCTATTCTTTCCCATTGTTAAATTTCTGCCTTCATATGTGTAGGCTTCCGTTACCCTTTGGTGGAATAAGTTGTGCTCGAATTGGAGTAATACTTCTACACCATTCAATAACATAAAATGTATTTGCCCAATTGATGATGATGGAGCTATCCTTAGAGCATATAATATTGATGGCAGGTCGTCTTCTCAATTGCTTTAGGCAGCTTCAACTTCCTTTTTTAAGTTATTAAGAAAATCTGCTTTTTGACGGCTTTAATTTGCCCATTTATCCTTAGGCGCCGCTGGCGGCGATTGCCCACCTTGGATTTAGGCTCTGTTTGACATAGCTTCAACTTTCCAGCTTTTCAGCTGCAACCGCGGTGCTCCAGAAAGCTGCTGTGGGGAAGCTGCTGCGAGGAAACTGACTGTTGTTTGTTGCAGCTGGGTGAAAATATTCTGGAAAAATAACAATTCTGCCTCTATTTAATTAAACTATTTGAAACAGAACAATGACAACATTATATATGATCCAACAGAAGCAAAAATTCACTTTAGAAGCTAAAAAAGTAAAATACATTAAATAATATGCCCAATCTAAGTGTAATGCATCATAGAGACAAGCCATGCTTGAAGCTTCCGATTTCTGCTAATTGAATCAATACTACATGCATGAATTCATAATTATTCATATATTCAACCTGATTTTCTTCGTCAAGAATATCCATTGTTTGATCAATACAACCACAAGGGATAGATTGCTACACACATTAATACAACCACAAGGGATAGATTGCTACACACATTACGAAACCAAAGGTTCTTATGTCACTCATGGTATCCTTATCGATGTGAGGAACAAATCTATTTAGGGCTTTCATTGATATGAAATCTTACAATATTTTCTATCATGTTCTTCCACGAAGAATTTTGCCCCGATGAGAATTTGTATTGTCATGTTTCAAATTCAAGCATGAATGTAAATCAAAATAGTTAAAAAAAAACAATGTGAATGGATTTAACAATTCTGGAAACACAAACCCTTTTCATCCAGATAGCTAAAGGACTATATTTACTGTTAAATTTATTCTAGTAAAGATATGTGATAATATTCAACAACAAAGAAGTTAATATATGGTCTAGACCGAATTTTCATTCAATATGTAGATTACAGGTCGTGATACTAATTGATCTGTCTACTTCTATTGAATTCTGAATAGTTGCTGTTACAGGAAATGGTTAAATGAATCGGTTTAGTGCGATAAACTCTAGAAAAATGTAGAAAAACAAGGGAAATTCTACTAGAGGAACTTCAAGTAAATGAAGATAAATTTATTCAAAAAAATCAGAAGATTACCTGGTTTTGTATCACCACATAAGAGCAATCCAATATTGCAAAGAAATCGAAGAGAACGAAGCGGAAAACTCAGAGATTGGAGATAGTGTTGTTCGCAAAATGAAGAGCTCGCCGGTAACCCTTATCCAAGCTGGATATGTGGATCTGACTTGCAGAGGAGGCATATTCCGATGGAAGGAGGGAATAGATCCAGGAGGGCGAGATGGCAAGAGGCACTGGAAGGAACACTGAGGTCGAGATGGCGAGAGGCGTGGGAAGGAACGCTGCCCGTCAGGGCTTCTTTCGCCAAGATATCGGGGACACTTTCATATGTCCTTGAGCGAAAGCTAGGGCCGCCGGGTTTATCCCGCGGCTCGCTTTTCGCCCGCGTTTGCGTCGTTTGGCCGCGAAGCTCCAAGACAAACAGTAAAATGTCGCGGTTTGGGGTCATTCCGCGTGAAAAAAGCAGCCCCAAATGAAGCCTTAATCTGGTTCCACACATGCTTAGTAGTGTTAAGGGTTTTCACATATATTAGTCACGGTCAATTCAGTTTATAACTGTAATGGAGAACATGTATTTTAATTTGATATGAACTGTATCACATTTATTTTGTAAACTGGCAGGCTACCCTGTTAAGTATTCCTTTTTTTTTTTCTGGAACTTTATAGTAGTTTTTATTTTTTTATTTATTTTCTTTCATTTTTTAGTAGTTTGATGTACAAGAAGAAGGAAGTAAAAAGAAGAAAATGAAACTTTTTCTTACTATTAAGGTTGATTTAGATAAATTGGATATCTAGCATAGAGCCTTGGATTATTGAAGCTCAAGCCATTATCTTGTGCTCTGTATTAGTTCTATGGGTTCACATGGATGCTTTTTTCAGCTTTCTTCCTCATTTGTATCAAATTGGGATTCAATTATTAGCAAACTAGTTCAGATTTGCATAGTTATCATTAGCCTCACCTCAAACTTGAGGTTTAAACATAGGGTCTATAATGCAATTTATTTTTTTAATGAACATAATTTAAGCTTAAAACGCTTCCTTGACTCTGCTCTTTGTTTAATGAGCTAACTGCCCAAAGTTTTAAGAGTTAATCGCTGCACAATATGAAGTTTGTATATTATTGTTTTAAATAGCTGGATGATTTAGGAAAACGTAGTTAATTTTATTTTGCTTGTAATTTGGCTGATGAATGGTAGCATGCAATTTCCTTTGAGTAAAGACCAAATGTTACTCTTCTCTACCTGATTAATGGTTTGTATGTGCAATTTTCTTTTTGGTGGGTTCGAATAACATTTATGGTTCAAATGATCGAGTCATTTTATATGCTTCAATGTGTTGCTTTTCATTCTCTCGGCTTTTGACAGGTTAGCCATCACCCCATGCTGGTTGCCTGCCATTGCGAAGGGAATGGGTGGAAATTCTGGGGTGACAGTAATCTCAAGAGTAAATTTTGGGGGCAGTCGATCCAGCTGGATCCTGTAGGTGTTTTAACCCTTGAATTTGATGATGGTGAAGTCTTTCAGTGGAGTAAGGTGAGTGCTTAAAGTTTTAAGTTGACTCTTTGCTATCTACTTCTCTAAAGTTGGGAGTGTAGCTAACGTCTTATAAGCCCAGGTCACAACAACTATTTACAATCTCATTCTTGGTAAAGTATACTGTGATCACCATGGAACAATGAACATTCATGGGAACCGCCAATACTCGTGTAAACTCAAATTCAAAGACCACACACTCCTGAACCAAAACCCTAGGCAGGTTAGAATATAAGTTGCATGAAGTAATGTACAATATCTTCTATAAGGGTTTATTGTGCTTGCAATCTAACTATAGTGTACAGGTGCAAGGATTTGTTGAGGATGGAACGGGAGTTAAAGTTGCTACATTGCTGGGTAAATGGGATGATTATATGTATTACATTAATGGATATGATGCTTCTAAGATCAAGTTTCCTGTTGCACCCGGTGATGCATCCTTATTATGGAAAAAAAATGATTCTCCTGCAAACCCTACTCGGTATAACTTGACATCATTTGCAATTACACTAAATGAATTAACACCTGGATTGCTGGTAAGAATTTGCATCAAACCAATTGATTTCCCTTTATTTTATTTTATTTTTTACCTTCTTACGTACTATGTGTAATTTTGTAAGTTGTAACCTCAATGTTTTAATGATGAATCAAGGAGAGACTCCCACCTACTGATTCAAGACTAAGGCCAGACCAGCGTTATCTAGAAAATGGAGAATATGAGAAGGCAAATGAAGAAAAACTGCGCCTAGAGAAGAGGCAACGAATGGTAATTCTTCTCCCACTTTTTATGATGTCAGCTTTTATAGATTGCCATATTGGTTTTTATTCCTTGAAGTATTATTTCTTAACTTTTTTTATCGTTGTCATGTACAGTAGTTTAACCGAAGGGGATTTGGAGATGCTCTAGCCCCACATAAATTTGAGAAAAATACTCTTAATCTCTTTATACTTCAAAAAAGTTTTGACTTTTAAATTTTCTTTTAGCTATTTATATTGAGGAAATTTCCTTCATTTAAAATTTTAGTTTAACAATTGATCATGTGGATAATGGTTTTCAAACCATTTGGCCAAGATTTCTATGATAGCAAGATATAATGGTCTGTGAGGTTGCTCGTCCGGAGCTGCGAATGTTTATAGTTTAGCAAACTCTTTAAAAAAGATATAGTGTATATATATATATATATATATATATATATAACTAGCTAAATCAAATACCGAAGCTTTATGAAAGGCATTAGTTGAAGCCACTAATAACTTCTGAAACTGTTTGTTCCTCTTTGTAATTTTATTTTGTTGGACCTCCATTCTTTCACCACAGTCAACGAAACTTCAAGAGGATGGATGGAAGCCAAGGTGGTTCAAGAGGGAGAATGAGGAGGGAACTTACCGTTATGTTGGAGGATACTGGGAAGCTAGGGAGCTGAACAAGTGGGATGAATGCCCGAATATATTTGGTGAATCATCAAACTCCAAGGACAAGCTCTGAAATCTCCTATGATTGGGTGAGTTTTACGTGTACAGTTTCAGGGATAGCCACATGCTTAGAAATTTTTTTTTTGTACAACAGAAATGCTTTGTCCACATTGATTTTATGCATTTGATTTCTGAATGCAGATTGAACTTGGGCAGAGGAATTGCATGAAATTTGTTGTCTTATGTAATTTTTCTAATTTTTTTTTTTTTAAATTGCCTTTGAGTTATCAAGCCCATTGTTAAATAGGGCATATTGTATGCACAGTATAAAGGTAGTTGCTTCAATTATGGGCCATTTTTTAATTTTTATGCACTTTCTTCTATTCAAAGTTTTATGTTTTATTTTGCTCAATGTGGTACGGAATTAATTACTTGTGTTGTTTTCAGTGCGACTTAAATTGGTAGATTCCACAAGGGCTATATCATATAAAGAGGAATTTTAAGTCCAACATATCCCTTTTTAGAATGATATTAATTGTCATTTCACATGAAGGTGTTTTGTGACCGTTATGAAGGAGAAAAATTTGCGTACGTAAGACGTAGGCAGAGCTGCGTATGTCGGAGGTTTTTCAGAGGGTATTGAGCGGTTATAGGTAGTTATAGAGATGTTACATGGGGTGTAACCTAGCTATAACCCTCCAATACTCTCTGAATAACCTTTGACGTACGCAGCTTTCTGTACGTCTTACGTACAAAAATTTTTTCTCGTCATGAAGACCAATTTTAGTGTGATGTACTTCCATGGACATTGCTCACTTTTTATTAGATACTTCAGTTGCTATGACTAGTCCATAGAAAAATAAATAAATAAATATAATCATAATTTTATTAAATTTGTTCCCGTCAAATCTTTGAAAAGGATACCAACCTTGGTATAATATAAAATCAATTATGATCTACAACTCAAAACCCATTGTAAAGAAATGAACTTAACTTCAATTTTTTTATTGTAGGAAACATTATTGATAGTGATAGTTTTTTCATTTTTTATCCTAATATCAACTTCCCTTAGAAAAGACTATATATCAACTAGAGAGTGTTTCTTCTAGTAAAATTAAGTAATCTCTTAAAGATTCATTAATTTTCATTGCTAGAATTAAGCAATATCCTTCCAAAATGTAAGCTATCTTATTTCATTGAAGTAAGAAGTTTGCATAGCTTAACTATTTTTAACAAGTAATTAATTAAGGAATTTAAATTAGTTTTTGCTTAAAACCACTAATGTTACAAAAATAGAAAAATTTTCTTTGACTCCTATAGCACAAAATGGCCTAGATCAGGATAAAAATTTAAACTACATTGGTTCCTATTTTTATGTTGGTTGGTTTTTCTACAAATTTTGAAGTAATCTCTGATGCTTTTAGAAATAGAATTGGTGGAATGTTAAGTATAAAATAAATCATCTAATAAGTTTCTAGTGAGATGTTGAATGAGGCAAAGCAATGAAACATCAAATATGATAAAAATTTTGTATTTTCAACCAAACTTTAAGATACTAGCTTCAATATCTCTTATATTGGGAGTTCACTCTTAACATAGATTAGAATTCCCTAAAATTTATCAATAACTAATGCAAGTTAATTCATGTTAATGCTAAATGGATTTATTTTCTTCAATGTTATTCCCTTGTCCTCAAACATAACATAAACTTTTAATTGAAAATAAATCACTGGTGATTATTCTTGGGTAACTTTAACTATTTTCTCCCTCGAACTAAAAATTTTAGGATATGATTAAAACAATGAACACCATGTCTTAATTTTCATAACATTTTAATGGTGAGTAATAGGTACATTGTTGGCTCTACAAGGAATAATATTTATATTGATATATATTTATATAAAGGAAAATAGTTTTGTATTTCTAGAAATGCACTTAAAAAACTTTTAATCTCTAGACTGCATTCTCAAGAAATAGCTAGACATTTTAAAAATAACAGGACCATCTTTTAAATAGAATTTTAAATTTTATTGCACTCACTTAAGCAAGGTTTTCAAAAATTGGTGGCCCAATGTTTTAGGTGTTAACAAGCCAAAGGATAATACATGCAAAAGAAATATACCATCACATATATTTTTGAATAATTCTACTTAGATGTTCAAATAAGATATTAAGAATAATATATTATCTTGAAAGATATAGCACTACTCTATAATGGATTCAATCACTTAAATAAAAATTCAAAATTTATGAGTTCGCAAATATTAAAGATTTCTCTCCCTAATTTAGGTAAAATGAGGCTTATTTTAATTTTGGGTACATGTACTTTATAAAGGTAAGACTATAGATAATTATATCTTAAGAGATATCATATCCTAAGAATACTCTTTATTAAGGTGTTGGTTTGTATTATAATATATTTCAAAGCTTATATTTTAAGATTGTTATTTTTAAAATCCAATTAAAAAGGATTAAATTTGAATAGTTTTGCAAAAATTCATTGGGAGAAAGGTGCTGAGTACTAACTATTCTCTAACAGGTTTTATAAATTTTAATTTTGAATTCATTTTAGAAAGTTAGAACTTTTATCATAAAAACACAAGATTATGAAAAAGCCTATAAAGTAAAGACTTATGATGTAGCGAAATAATTTATCTTAAAACCTAAACCTGGGTAAGAGTTTGTATCAAAATAGATTCTCAAACTTATTCTAGTTACAAACAATGGACTTTTAAAGTTTATCCTAACCTAGGGCTGAAATAAGTCTGACTTTATTGGATTTATAATCGTTCTGGTAAAGGATAGCTGATTAAGCCTATCTAATCATCTCAAATTTATGAAGTTTAGTCAAATAAAATGGAAGATAGGTAAGTCTTTTATTAATTAAAGAGAAAAATATTATTTATAACTCAACTAATAGAGAAGCTGCATGATTAGGACTGGAGCACAATGCTTCTAGTTAATATAAAACTCTGTAATTTAAAAAAATTATTTATTCAATTCCTTTTTAAAGGCCAAATGCATATGACTAATTTATGTATGCATGAAACGAATTTTATAGCATACAACTAATTATAATTTTAACTAGAATTTCTCAAGAAGGTTGGATATTATTCTTGTTAGTATGTAATGGATGAACTACTGGGGGAAAGAGGAGAATCAAAATGCAAGAACAAATGATTTATTCATTTTAAGTGTTTTTAAATGATTATTATTGATTAATTTTTTATGTTTCAATTGATTTTATTTTGAGTTTTGAATTAATTTTATTTTAGTTATTAAGTTGGATAGAACTTATATTTCTAAGTCTATCACACATAATCTTGAACAAGCACAATGAAGTGAAAAAATAGGAAAAATATATATTTTTAAGCATGTAATCTAAGTAAATCACACGAGCAAAAAAAAAAAAAAAAAGGAAAAATAAAACAACCCCAAAAAAATAACTAAAAGTTGGTGCAGGCGAATTCTACAATATACCTTAGAAGAAAGATAAAATAAGCAGTTGAAATTTGCCCTTACATAACTAACCTAAAGCTACAAGATTGATTGAGTATTCATATGAAGTCTTTAGCTCTTTCTTTTGGGTCCTCAAGGCATCATAATGTTTTATTTAGAATTATCTGCATTTAAGGGTTCATCCTACTACATACTTGGTTCTTCTGCTTTTATTTGGTTCATTTAACTTTTTCAGCTTCTTTGATTTGATCCAGGGTTTCTTTTGTTACCACCCACAAGCCAAACTAGACTTAGATAAACTTTAAATATCGACTCCAAATAAAAGGAAACCTACACTTAATTACAACATATAAGCTTTCTACAACCTCTACAAAATAAAGGTAGCATATGAAAGTATATAATCCAAATATATATATGTATATATATATATATATATATATATCATTATTACAACCATTACAAAACATCATAGAGCATCACAAAAAAACATTCCATTAGCACACACAACCAAAAATTGAGCAAATAATCATAACTTGAGATTAGAGTTGATGCCACATACAAAATAAGTCTAATGTTTGTTTTATACTATGTGGTTGGTTTGAATTAGGCCTACAATTTTTTTTGTTTAAATTTGACTTAGGGTTTAATTTTATAATGAGTGGTTTAAATTTAAATGACTAATATAATTTATTTTTATTTTTTAAGAATTATTATTTGAATTTGTTTTTAGATTCCAAAGAATGTCTTTAAACATACAAGTTTTTCTTAAAGTAAACCTATAAGTTAAGAGATCATAGGTACTATAAAATTAAAAAAAATCACCCAAATTGGTGAAATGTCATTTCATAACACATGAAAAGCACATATATGTGTATTTTATACATTTCGAATAAATTTTAATTTTTATTTAAAGATTTGTAGACTCATGAATTTTATTTATCATTTATCTTTTTATTAAATTTGCTTTGAGTTTAAATGAACTCAAAAGTCAATGAAATTGAATAATACTATAAAAACAACCTTAAAAAAATGTATAATTTTTTGAGGAAGTATTGGATTTTTTATTTTTTTTAATTCTTTAATTTATTACTTATTTTTCTTTCAAGGAATTATCAAAATTTAACTCAAAATTCAATGAAATTGAATAATACAATAAAAAAACAACCTTTGGAATAATTTATAAATTTTTGAGGAATTATTGAATTATTTGATATTTTTTAATTTTTGTAATTTATTAATATTTTTCATTCAATAATATATCAAAATTTAAAATGAAATTATAAAATAATGAACAGTTTTTAGGAATTTCAAATAAATCTTGGACTCTTCATAAGAAATTGTGATAGTGTGATGTCAAATAAATTTTTGATTACTCATTAAATTTATTTGACTTATGTTTCCACTCGTCGTATGTCGCCAGTCTTCATTTTGTCGATTGCTTGATGTCATCATTATCGTTGAGGAGTCGCCAACTTGTTTTATATTTTATTGCCCTTTTTCTCTGACTAGTTCTCCATCTTAAATCATATAGATGAACTAAGAAATAAGAAATCGAAGGACTAGGGCAGACAATACTGGGAACAAATAAAAGAAATGTACGGGAAGCCTTCATAAGGTAAATTTTTGCATTGATTACTCCAAAATTTAAATCCAAAGTGAGATCTCTTTAGTATGCTTTAAAGACACAACTACAAAAGAAACCTTATCAAACCTAATTACCAGAGAATTCAGGTTGATACATTTGTTATAAGGTTCACATCCTCCTATAGGGACAAATCCCATTAGTTAATTACATCTTAAGTAGTTAAGACTACTTAAGAAAACTCCTTATTGAGATTATAGTTTGTTCTCATAAAGTTCAATATCATTGTTAAGGAAA